GAAAAAGGGCCTGTGCCTACTACCCAGATGGACAGTGTGTCCCCTTCCCTCACAGTTGGCCCACAGCACTCACCATCCAGAGCAGGTCCTGGTAGTGCACCATCATCTGTACCACCTCGGCGGCCCCCTCTGCCAGCTGCTTTTCCCTGCCCTTGAGGAGTTTGGGGGGCTGCCCTCGGTGAAGGAAGAGATTAGGGGCCATTACCGTGGAAACATTCCACAGTGTCATCTTGTTGCTCTGCTCCTGGGCCACCACCTTCCTGAGGAATTCCAGGAGTGCCTGTGGAAGGGCACAGAACTTTCTTCAAATCTTAGCACACCCCTCGTGTGCCCTACCTTCCCCAGAACATCCTGCTGTGCTACTTGGGGGCCTTGCAAGGAGCCAGGGGCTGGAATAAGGGTTTTAGTTTCAACTTTGCCATCAGCACACTCTGTGACCTCTGTCTGTTTCTGACAAAACATGGCCAAAACTTTCCCCCTTCCCTGCTCCCTCAGAGGCTAATGAGACATCCGGGTCAAACTTCAACTTCCAGGCAGAAAAGAGCCACCACTCTGGGGAGTGGGTATTTTCCTGGCAAGCCCAACACAGTTCCTTCACCTGGATCTGGGGTGTCTGAATCTGCCCAAAAGGCAAGGGAAAGAACAGGGAAGCAGAGACAATGGGAAGGAAGGGAGATGGCGGTAACAGCTGCCATTTAGTAAGTGTTCTTTGTGTTCCTGGTCCCTTAGCTAGCACCTTACATGCATTGATCATCTCATTTAATTCCCACAACTCTCTAAAGTAGGTTCTACCATTTGTACCCATTACACAGAGAAGGAAAACTGTGGCTTGGAGAATGTGCCCAAGGCCACATAGACATTAAGGATGAACAGAAGGAGGGAGGATAGAAGGATGGAAAGATGGTTGGATGGATGGATGGATTGATGGATGGATGGATGGATGGATGGGTGGATGGATGGATGGATGGATGGATGGATGGGTGGTTGGTGGATGAGGGGGGATGGAAGGAAGGAAGGGAGGAGGGAGGGAAGAAGGAGGATCGGGGGAGGGAGGAAATGTATTAAACACTTGCTAAGTACCACATCATCTACTCTGTGATTCCTTCTGTATTAGCTCTTGTGTTCCACAAACAATCACACAGATGGTATTATTAGCCTACATTTACTAAAAAGGAAACAAATTAAAGAGGCTGTCTCTTCAACAAAGCTGAGGCACAAGGCGTGATGGTCACTTGAGCCCAGGTCTATCTGGTTATAAATACTCCTTTAGGGCCTCCTGTGTCCACATCAGGCAAGGGTTCCAGTAGACCTGGGGTCTCCTCACAGCCACACCCTAGCGGTATGTCTTGGATTTGACCCAAGGACAGCCAGGAAGGTGCTGGGACCTAAGCCCGGGCTGCACCCCAGCCCCAGCCCCCAGTCCTGAATACCCGTTCCCATAATACACAGTGGGAGTTCCCCAAGTGAGTATTTCCCAAACTAGTGTTCCACAGAACATCATGCAATGCAATGCTTTCCATAACAAAAGAGGTCCCTGGACACCTGACTCAGGAACTGCTACACACTCTAGTCCCACCCAGACATTCGCAAAGCCTTGGCATATCAATGCTCTGAGAAGTCCTGTAGGAAGGGATGATCTTAACCTTACTTCACTGACTCAGTGTCCACCCATCTTATCTGGGCAGAGAGCCTTCTCCCTGGGACCAACAATGATGTTGGGCAGTGCACACTCCAGTGAGCACCATGTCCTCTCAGGGCTCATCTCCTTTCTTTAGGGAAAAGGTCTCAGGAAAGACGAGGCCGTCACTGTTGGTCATCACTGCACCCCAGCTCCTGGCAGAGTTGTTGAATGAATGAATGAACGGGCACACTTGGAGCCATTACTGTGGCTGTGGGCTGAGGTGACAGAGTGGAGGCAGCTGGAGGTAGCTTTCACCTTCAGGGCGTTCCTGTTGGGTTCCGGGAGAATCAGGATGAGCAGGTGGAGGGCCTGCAGGCGCTGCCTCAGGTCAGGGATGTCTGAGGGAAGAGGGCAGACTTGGTCTCAGTCTCTCAGTGAGGCCAGAGACTCTCCCTTAGTCTGAAGCCCCCTTCTTGGGGGAGGAGAGATTCCAAAAAACCCTTCTTTTAAAAAAATGTTTTTTTTAAACATTGATTTGAGAGAGAAAGAAAGGGAGAGGGAGAGAGATAGAGATAAGAACAATAATGAGAGAGAAACATCGATTGGCTACCTCCCACAACTCCCTACTGGGGATCAAGCCCACAACCTGGGCATGTACCCTGACTGGGAATCGAACCAGTGACCTCTTGGTTTATGGATCAACACTCAACCAACTGAGCCACACCGGCCAGGGCAGGAAACCCTTCTTTATAAGGCCTTGAACTGTTTCCTGGGCTAGTGTTAGCTCAGACAGAGCCCCAACCAGTGCTGGTCTTGAGGCTCGCTATACCGTGTGAATAAAAAATAACACACACATGTGCATGCACACACACACATACACATGCACATACAGACACCCAGACATGCAGCCTGAGAGGTATATCCCAGGGTCAGAAATGCAATTGGTTCGCCTCGTCACACTGCACACGCACACTCATGCACATTCACAGACAACACACACATACATGCACACACACACAATACACATGCACATGTACACACATGCACACACATACTCACACACACACATGCCCTTCCTCTCCCATCAGGCAGGGATCAGGTAGTCCCATCTTCCCACCACCTTCCCTCCCAGGCCATCAAAAGCTCTTCTCCCAAATGCAAAGGGCCGGGACACTCACTGGGCACCACGGCGAAGGCCGGCAGGTACTCAGCAGTGAGCAGAGGTGCCGGCAGCTCCCGGATAAACCTTTTGAGCAAATCGGACGCATCATTGTGGTGAACCTCGTCCCAGCTAAACAGGCCAGTGTAGAAATCTCTCTCCAGCCTTTGTTCCAGCCCCTGGAGAAAAGAGGGGCACTAATGAGAAGTTGGCTCAAGGCTCCAGGAAAAGTTGCTCCACCACTTCTCTGGGCCTCAGTTTCCTCAACTGCAAAATGGGGACAATAATAGCACTCTTCTCATAGGAGTTTTGTGAGGATTAAATGGCCTAATGTGTGTAAGTCACTCAACAAATGTCGACAGTCTCAAGCCTATGCTATATTGTGCCACCTCTAGCCTTTCAAACCCTCTTGAATTCCAGACCCAAACAGAGACCAACAGGCCGTGAACTGGATTCTCTTCAGGATTAACGCACACGTGCGGATGCTGGGAGATGCTACTTCAGTGAGGTGGGGGAAGCCAAGCCATTACCTTGACCCTGGCCTGCGATCCAGGCACTCTGAGAATGCCTTCCATGTCCAGCCCCCTCTTTTCCAAACAGGACAGCAGCTGTGAGAAAAAGAAACCACCACTTAAACCAGCAACCACTGAAAAGTGGGATTCAAACTGGTGTGTTTGTGTCCCAAAAAAACAAGGCAGAGAGAGGCAAAGAATGGCTTTCTTGGCCACTCCCATGAGCCATTGTTCTGTGAGCTTTTTTTTCCTAAATATGCATTTTTCTCATTCAATCTCTAATAAGAGAATACTGTTATTCTAACCCCACTTCACAAACACTGAAAGGCAGGCTCAGAGAGGCTCAAAAATCCGCCCAAGTCTCAACTAGCATGTGTCAGAGCCAGAATCGGAACCCAGGTCTCCTGATTCTGAAGTCCACATCGTATCTCCCAGGCCAGCCATCAGGGTGCCCAGGGCCAGCCTCTGGCTGGCTAACTGAGCTCAATCTGGGGACAACTTACAGCTTGAAGTACCAGCGGCACCTGGGTGCTGGGGAGGGCTTTGCGGTCAGCTTCCAGCAGGGCTTCAAGGGGCACCCCAAAAAGGCGAGTTTCTGCGGGAAGTCCAAAGAATAGAAGGGGTGTTTCACTTCCTGGAATGACAGCTGGGCTCCAGCCTGCAACATCTCCTGGGCGACTAGAATCAGACTCCTTTCCCTGTGTGAGGCCTGAGCTCTGGAGGGTGGCTGAGCTCAACCTGCTCTCAAGCAGAACACGAGGCCTCAGCAATAATGAGAACATTCGATGCATCACAGAGCAGAACGTCTCAGCTGGATAAAGAGGCGTTGAAAGAAAAGGTGCTGCTGCCCCGGGGAGCACTGGGTGCCAAGTGTAACAGTGGTCTGGGGAGAGGATTTTGCTCAGCAGGGATGGACCAAGTTCCAATGAAATGTACTTCCCAGGTCTTCTCAACCATCCTGCCTTGCAGGCTTCTCAGAGAAACTCATCTTTCCAAGTCAACTCAGCAATGTTCTTCCTTCTCATTCACTTGCCTAGCCCTTTCTCTACCAAACCCCTTCTCCTGGTCTACCCATCCATCATCCTCTTGTCTTTATCAAGAAACAAACAAAAAATTGCAATGCGTCATGTTGACAATGATGCAGTAAGATGAACAGTCTCATACACTATTGAAGGGTAATATATACCCAGAACGTCACCACTATATTCTAAAACAATCTAAGATGCATTCAAAGTTGAATGTGCAGCAATGAGCCCAATCTGGGGACACCCACCAACATCTGAGAAGAGTAAACAATTGTTGATTTAAGTCATGAGTTTTGAGGTTGCCTGTTATATAGCACTATTGTGGCAATAGCTGAATGAGACGAAAACTCAGAAATGTCCATAGTTCTATACTATAAAGTGAAAAGGGGTTTATATACATGGGGTGGGAGAGGAAGATGATACTCTAAAAGCGAATAGTGCTTACATCTGAATTATATTTTTCCTTTTTGGATTTTACTCAAATTTCCTACAGTGAGCAGGAACTGTTTTCAGATGCAGAACAAGTACATAGAACTGAAGGAAATAAAGCAGCTAAGCATATTCTGGTGCAAGATTCCCCACGCAACTCGCTCAATGAGAAAGCCAGGACGTTAGTCACAGGGCTTTGAAGTGCTGGACTGCTGACCTGCTGCCTTCTGCTTCCCCGCCTTGCTCCTCTTCAGGTCCAAGCCCAGGACGTCGCAGAGCGCAGTCAGCTCGATGAGGGCCAGGGCGGCGATCTTCTTCAGGTCCTGCGAGGACAGGTCTCCAATCCTCGTCAAGCCAAGTCTGCCTTTGGGGATCCTAAACTTCTAGGGAGGGAAGCAGAGACAAGCAAGCCAGATGTCCTGTAAGTGTGTTGAGGCCTTGCCCCCATCCCATCCCACCCCCAGGCGGTTAGAGGGAGAAAGAACAGAGTGGATGAGAGCCCCTGCTTCATCCCAGGTTCAAGTCCCACCTCCACCTGACCTCCACCTCACATTGTGAACCTCTAATTCCCCATTTGTAATCATACAACAGTGCTTACCTCATAGTTTTTGAGGGTAAAATGGGCTAAGGGGTATAAAGGGTGCCAAGCACATAACAGTAATGGGAAGCTCTCTTTACTGCCTGTATTCCAACCTGGGGGCTGGAGGAGAGGGATCACCCCATGGGCCTCTTATTTTGCTTCTATTCTGATCTTTTGTTGCTCTTCCTCGCCCCACCTATCCCTATCCTTGCTCTGCCATACCCCAACCCAATGCTCCTCTTCCTCAGTATTGATTGAAAAAATAAATGATGCTCGACCGCGCCATCTAAAGGCAAGAATGGGGATCTACAGGCATATTCCGCTGCGCCCCTCCCCACCCCCATCCCCCTACTGCCATAGGTGAAAAGTCGAAAACCGCAAGAGGGAGGGGCAAATGTGTTTGGTATTTGCCTGGAGGACTTGACCAGATTATGCCCCAGTGCCCATTCGAGTGCTAAGGGAAAGGAAGCGTGCTGTGGTTGTAGGTCGTAATGTTATGGCTATCAGACAGCCCGTGCTTGCTCTACGGTGCATAGAGCCAAACTTCCTGGGTTCAAATCCTGACTTCACCTGTGAGTTTGGGTAAATAATTTTACCTTTCTGTGTGTCCATTTTCTTACCTGTAAAGTGGGGCTAATAACAGTATCCACTTCACAGGGTTTTGGGGGGAGATTAAATTTGATAAAGTGATAAAACACAGTGCCTGACAAAGTAAGTCCTCAATTATTATAACTATCACTATTTTTTAAGTATTTACACAATTGCCGTTAACATAACAGATGAAATTAAATCATGTATGTATAGTATTTGGTATATGCCCGGTCTATGGTAAAAGGTCTATATGTGGTATCTTCGGCATTATTATTATCATTCATAGTTTAATGGGAAAATCAAATCATCAAGGATAGAAGATATGATAATGTTGAACATTAATTATCTATGATGCTTTAGAAATAGAAAGTCAGTCTTTAAAAACTTCGACATACCATGATTACATAAGAGACTATCACTGGGAGAAACCAGGTGAGTAGCACATGGGAACTCTCCTTGTGACTCTAAAATTATTTCAAAGTAAATAGAAAAATCCTATTTGCATGAATGAAAGCACCTTCACACTGCAGTAGAGGTTACTGCACTTTCCCTAAGGAGTAGAGAGGAATGGTCAGCGGGGGCCTGGCCCCAGCCCCATGGGCAGCATCCTCACCGGCAGGGACCCCTTGCTCCAGGCACAGGTGCCTCCCGGGCGCTGCCTGCCCCTCTGCAGGAGCAGTGCGGCCTGTTCCGAGTAGGCGGTGTCCATGTGGAAGGCGTGCTCCATCCCAGCCTGTGCCTGCGGCCCCTCAGGCTCTGCTGCTGCTGCTGCTGCTGCGGGAAAACAGGACAGAGAGGCAGTCAGCACCTGCCGCCTCCCTGCCTCCTGCCCAGAGCCCCAGGGAGCAATTTCTCAGGCTTTGGCCCTTCTCAGTAGCGACTGCCTAAGACCAGGGGGCTGAGATCGTGACCCCAGAAGCAAGTTCTTAAGCTGAGGACTCAAGCCCTTTGCCCCAAGAAGTGATTTCCCAGGATCAAAACCCCAGGACCAAATCAATACCGTTAGGGATCAGATCCATTGCCCCAGGAAGTAATTTCCTGCTGGCCCATTGCCCCAGGAAGTAGTTTCCTGCTAAGGCCCATTGCCCCAGGAAGTAGTTTCCTGCTAAGGCCCATTGCCCCAGGAAGTAGTTTCCTGGCTAAGGCCCATTGCCCCAGGAAGTGGTTTACTGGCTAAGGCCCATTGCCCCCGGAAGTAGTTTCTAGCTAAGGCCCATTGCCCCAGGAAGTAATTTTCCAGGCTAAGGTCCATGGGTCTGCTGGGAAAACCCACTCAAGAGCCAACCTTGTCCCTTGGGGTTTCTTCCTACTGCCCTGGAGCAGGGAAGGCACGGAACCAGCAAGAGGAGAAAAACACTCAGAGGTGTGCACCTTCCTTACCTCACAGAGCAGCCCTGTGCAGCCTGGAGGACTCCCAGGGCCCAGGAAAATGAAGGCCACTTACCTGGAGGAGACTTAGGGCTCCCGGAACTGAGCAGGGTCCATTTCATACCTGAATCCCCATTCTCTGAAGGCATTTCCTAAACAAATTACAGACAATTTCCAATTAATTCTATTTCCCAACCCTGGGAAATAGAAGCCATTAGTGACCCCGTCTTCACGGATGGAGCAGCTGAAGCGCAGAGATCTTGCCCCAGACCCCAGGCTGCTGTGTGTGTGTGTGGAGGGGGGGGGAGCGCTGGCCCAGGCCTCTCTGCCTTCAATGCCTATTGCATTAAGCACATGTCATGCCACTTCTGGGGGGGGGGGGGGGGGGGAGGGGGCGCTGGCCCGGGCCTCTCTGCCTTCAATGCCTATTGCATTAAGCACGTGTCATGCCACTTCAGCAAGTACAAAAGAAAGAATAAAATGCCCGTAACCTCTCAGGTTACAAGTGTCGGCAGTATATACAACTGATAAAAACATATTATAATTGTCCTGACAATAGTTATATATAGAGAGAACCTAAGCTTTCAGGCCCAGGCAAGCACACATGGTGGCAACAGGAAATGCACACACAGCGGGCAGCCCTGCCTGCAACCTGGGGACACAGTGGCCTGCAGGCACCCGCCAACACAGCCTTGCAGCAGGACCAGCTTCACTGAGGATGTGAATGGGCCCAGCAGACAGGGCCTGCAGTCACCCTTGTGCTGCTGACTTACCCCTGCCTTGAAGCCCCCAAAGATGTCCCTGACATCTCTAACAGGTGCCTTGGGGCGTCTTCGTGCCGAGCGGGCGTAGATGTCCAGCCGGCGGCGCACAGCGGCCACCTGGGTCTGTGTGAGGGTGGACAGGAGCCCCCGGTGATGACTGTCCAAGCCCAGGCCACCAAGGAGGTCCGACAGGCCTGTGTCCTGCAGCCACTGGGATTCAGTTTCTCCTTCTGCCAATAGAGGGAGACCATCCAGATAAACACACACAACTACACTCTCCGCCACACGCACTAACCGAGTCACATGCAGAAACACACACTCAACCTGAGTGCAAGAAACACCCACACATCTGACCACGAGACTCACTAACACCAACCACACTCTTCAATGTGGAGAAGACCTAACAAAATATCAGAGAACTTGGGGGGCATGGATGGCATTAACCAGTATCTGGATTTAAACCTATACAATCATATTCTCTTGGAAACAGCAGGCTGAGGAGGGGCGCCTGCATGTTCTGCATCTGGAATGTAGCCAACGACTCACTCCCCCTCCCAAATCTGACAGAGATCACACAGGGTCACATGGGCCCAGCGTGGAGAGCACGGGCAAGCAGCTGCTGTCCCTTGGAAAGTCTCACTCTATTCAAGACCTTATCTGTGTTGGAATAATCCCCTCAACTGTGCTTTGTAAGGAAACGGTCATGGTCTTACAGCAAAACCATTCTTCCAAACTGTGGGGTGGTGTTGAGACTGCAGGTCCCTGGGTCCCACCTCCAGAGATTCTGCCCTAGGAGTTCAGGCTCAGGACCTGGGAACCTGCACTTGAACTCCCGCCTTCCCGCCTTCCTGCCCAGATGATTCTAATACAATGGAGTCTTCAGATCACACTTGGGAAACACTGGTGAGTTCCGTCTTATTATGGGGAAAACGGACGAGAACTTGGGGAGGAAGCTGTACCCATGTGCGAGCTGCTTGCTGGGGTGCCCAGTTTGACCAATTAGTTAACCAAGTGCTGGTGGTTCAAAATATCCGAACTGCTTTCACGGCAGGCAGCCTGAGCTGTGGCATGCACAGACGTTTCCCCATCGCATCCCCCATGCACTTGGGAACCAAACAAACGCTGCCAGGGTGGCCACAATGTTGTGGGTCCTCCCCTGACCTGTGCCAGCTGGTGAAGGCACCAATCCCACTGTGATGCCAGGACCTGCTTCTCTCCTCTCACCACGGGATCTCTTCCAAACACCAGTGTTTCCTGAAGGTATCCCAGGAGATCTGAGTCTCCCCCATGACCACACATGCTGTACACCATGGGCTAGCACAGCTGACTCATAGGCCAAATCCAGGTTTCTGTGCCCATGCCCTTTCATTCCCTCACTCATCGAACACGTGAGAAGGAGTACAAGAATGGGCTTGGCTCTGTTCTAGGCCTGAGGGTATAGCAGCGATGGGCAATGGCCCAGACCTCTTGGAGCTTACATTCTACTGGGGGACACAGACAAAGCACAAATAAATGCACTGTGTCATGTCAGGTGCGGGGATGTGCTCTAACGATAAATAAGGTGGGTCAAGGGGCTAGAGAGTGAGGGGCGGGGTGCTGCTTTACTTAAGGAAGTCAAGATTTCCAAGGAGGTGACATTTGAGCCCAATCCTGATTGGAGAGAACAAACCAGGCAGATCCCTGAGGGAAGGGCGTGCCAGGCAGAGGGAACAGTGAGGACGAAGGCTCAGAGGCTCGAGTGTGCTTTCCTGGTCAAGGAAGCAAGGAGGCCTGAGTGGAGGCAGAAGTGGAGACATAGGAAGATGGTGGGAGGGCACGAGGCAGAGGGGCCTGGGGCTGATTTTGTAAAGCCTTGTAACCTGTGATGTGTAGGTTCTGCATGTCCCCAAACTCTTTGACACACACCCCATTAAGAGGTGGGTCTAATTCCCTCCCCTGGGATATGGGCTGGGCGCAGGAAAACAGGGTGTAGCAGAAGTGCCTCTGCCTGCCTTCCAAAGCCGGGTCATGAATGGCGAGCTGGCTTCTGCCTCTTCTCTCTCACTGTCTCTCTCTGTCTCTCTGTCTCTCTCTCTCCTCCCGCTCTTGGGACCCTGTTGCTTAGCTGTAAGGAAGCCCAGGCCCACACAGAAGCAAACAGTAGGCATTACAGTCCTAGATGAGGCCCAGCTGACGTCACAGCCACCACCAGACTCAGAAGTGAGAAATCCTTTGAGACGACTCCAGCCCTGGCCACCATCTGATTGTAGTTCCACGGGAGCCCCAGAGTGAGGACCGCCCAGCTGAGCCCTGCCGGCCCCTAGAACTGTGACACTGTCAGAATAATGATAGCTGCTTTACACCGCTCAGTTTGCAGCGGTTGATTATGCAGTAATGGATAACAGATACGCTGAGAGAGGTGGGGACACCTGTGGGATGTTGAGCAAAGGATTTAGGATTCCACTCAAATGTTAGTTCCACGGGGAGACTGCTTTGTGTTCACGGTTGTATCCCTGGTGCCTAAAACAGTGCCTGGCAAGAAAGGGGCAATTATACACGTGTGCTGAGTGACCTAATCTAAGGAGGGACGTCATCTAATTTAGGGTGACAAGGGAGTGAGGGGGGAGCAGGGAGACCAGGGAAGAAGCTACTGCAACAGCCTGAGAGAGATAAAGCCCTTGCATGTATGGTCTGTGCCTGGAGCTTGCACATGTCTCCCCTGCCACAGGGGCCTCCCTCCACCCAGCAGCCCCTGCCAGCACTCCTCACCCTCTGGGGGCCGGCCTTCGCCCCCGCTGCCATCCTCTTCTCTCAGCTCATCCCTCTGTTGGATCCGCTCCACCTCCATCCAAAAGCCATCCAGGGACAAGCTCTCGGCTGAGGACATCCGGGAGTGGGAGCGTTCCGCAGGGCATGCTCGCAGGGGGTTCTTCTGCGGGAGCTGACTCACTGGGCCCGACGAGGGGCCAGAGCTGCAGCAGGCGGGAGGGAGGAGAGAAGTCAGGCAGAGGCCCGCTCACGATGGGGTCTGTCCGGGGCTTGGAGGTTCTCCAGAAACCGATCTGCGGCTCCTGGGAGCTGGGCAAGCTTCCTGAGCAAACTTCCCAGGGGGGACAGACACACGGCCAGGCTCGCAAACTGACCACGTTACCCATCGTCCCTGAGAATCACACGGACACAGATGATGCCCAGAGGGTGGAGAAAGGCCAGGCAGCACCGCTTTGTCCCACCTTCCTGGGCAAGGCAAGCAATCCTGGACCCGCAGAGGGTAGAGTGAACATTGATGAGAGGGAGTTAAACACCAGGAAAATGAGAGGAAATGACAGTGCAGCGCCTGACTCATCTCACTGAATTTCTACCCAAAATGGCAGGTATCTTCTCCCCACCCGCACCCCCTTATCTGTGAGTCTGACTCCCACAGCCCTGGTTTCCCTGTCTCTACCATGTGACCACCTCATCCCCTGCTCTCCAGCCAGATCTGAGCAGACCAAAGTGCCAGTTCACAGAATGCAAAGGAGCAAAAATTAAAAGTAAAAAAAAAAGATGGACCAAATATTAGGTAAGTGCTAACAAAAAGGACAAACATATCAATATCACTTCCAGATTAAGAATTCATTCCAAGGGAGGGAAAGAGAAAATCCACAAAGAACCTACGCCAGCCTCTAACCTGACCCACCCCAGCCTCGTCACAGAAACTGGAAGTAAAGAAAGAGCTGCCGGAAGTGTGAGGTTGGCGGACACGCGTGGGCCTCAGCGTTGGCCATTTCCCTGCAGGAACTGATTTTCCAGTTGCAAGTTTGCAAGTTCCCCAGTCTCTCTCAGACCTCCATGTCTTTGCATAATTTGTCCCCTCTACTAAGGCTGGGCTTCCCCAGTCCCAGCCACACATCCCTTCTACGGCCGATCTGGCCCATGATTGCTGCACTCGAGACGGTCTTAAAATGAGACTAGGGCCCAGCGGGCGTGGCTCAGTGGTTGAGCACTGACTCATGAACCAGGAGGTCATGGTTCCATTCCCAGTCAGGGCACATGCCTGGGTTGCTGGCTCGATCCCTAGTAGGGGACATGCAGGAGGCAGCCGATGGATGATTCTCATCACTGATGTTTCTATATCTCTCTCCCCCTCCCTTCCTCTCTGAAATCAATAAAAATATATTTTTAAAAAATGAGACTTGGAGAGAGAGGGAAAGCATCTCTGAAAGCCAGGCAAATGCAGGAGGTCGTCAGCGTTGTTGGCCAAGGGGTGGGAAAGGGATGTCACCACGAGCCCGAGCCCGGTGGGTGGAGCACAGGGGCGGTGACCACAGTGGCTGCCTTCCCAGCCTCCTTCCCACTCACCCCGCTCTGTGTAGCAGGCATGACCCCACCCCAGCCTCGTCACAGAAACAGGTCCAGGCCGGTTTGGATTAAGAGCCATTGTGTGAGTGCCTGCTCCTGGGGACGGCATTTCTTGGGGGTGACGAACATGTTCTAAGATTGATTGTGATGATGGTTGCGCAACTCTGTGAATATACAAAAAACCGTTGGACTGTACACTTGAAATGGGTCAATTGTATGGTGCATCATTTTCTTATCAATAGAGCTGTTAGTTAAAAACAAAAGTACCAGCCCTGGCCGGCTTGGCTCAGTGGATAGAGCGTCGGCCTGCGGACTGAGGGGTCCCGGGTTCGATTCCGGCCAAGGGCACATGCCTGGGTTGCGGGCTCAGTCCCCAGTGGGGGTGTTCAGGAGGCAGCCGATCAATGATTCTCTCTCTCATCATTGATGTTTCTATCTCTCTCTCCTTCTCCCTTCCTCTCTGAAACCAATAAAGAAATATATTTAAAAAAGAAAAACCAAAAAAAAAAAAAAACCCAAAAGCACCGTTGTGCGCATTCCTCCAGCCACAGGAATTATTCCACAGACGGAAGCACCCGGGCCTTTGGTGGGGATTCTGGGGTACAGACAGCTTGCTCCAGACCTGGCTTACAGTCAGTCTCCTCAAGGAGTGGGCAGTCACACAGGGGGACCCAGGCTTCGGCCAGAGTGGGTGCCACACACAGCAATAGAAAGAAGTGTTAACACTGGGCCCTGGGGGTCCCCCACCCAGGGCATGTTGCCGAAGCACCCTCCTCGGTGTGCGGCGGGGTTCTCACCCACCCCCTGTGACAGGCGCTTGCGTGTTTTCATTTGTATCACAAGTGACCCTGCGACAAGCATCCCTGTGTTTACTGCCGTGGCCCTCTGTGCAGAGGTGACCGTGGAAGAGCGAGTGCCAGAAGCGGGATTGCTGAGCCAAAGGGTTTTTGCCAAATCGTCTTCCAAAAAGGATTGTTCCATTGGAGCTATTTGGTTGTTTTTGTTTGTGTCTGTGGCCCAGGACAGGGAGTTAATTTTGCTCCTGCTGCCTACCTGGCCTTTGTCTTGTGGGGTTCTGTGCCCTGGGGTCCCTGAGGCTGTGTTTTTCCCACAGCTGGAGACCCCATCCATAGATGTCCCCCCAACTTCGGAGGTGGGTTAGTATCGAGGCCAGCCACATGGATGTGGGGCTGCGCAGTCCTGCCCAGGAGGCCTCCGGCGTGGTTAGTGCTCTGCCATCGCCATGTCGAAATGCGTGATCATTTTTGAACAAAGGCCCCGTTTCATTTTGCAGGTGGCCTGTCCCACCAGTACCTCACCCATGCACCCATGTGCCTTTTCCCCAGTGTCCTGCCCACATACTGGGCTCGACTCCAAATTATAAACACTTCCGTCCCCAAACATACGCCGATGTGGTCAAGCAAAGAAATCTCAAGCCTGCCAAGAGCCCAGAGGAGGAGGCCGGGCACACAGCCTGTCCGCAACAACAGCTTGGCCGTCTCCACCAGCAGAAGCTGAACTGGAGACCGATTCCCAGTTCATTATGAAGTTGGCTGTTCCGCTCTATTTATGCTTTTGGGGAAACTGCTTGTCAGCACGCCTCCTGCGAATGTGGTTGCCCCCTGCTGGTGCACAGCTCGGCTTCCTCAGTGGCTTTGTCATTCGCTTGGAAATTACCAGCATCTGCATGCTTTTGTGACACAGCAATAAAAAGAGTGAGTAAACCAAAACAAAAGTGATCAACTGTGTCACCGCTTTCACAGCCAAGCAGTGAGAGGAGGGCGATCGCCTCCAGCACGCCTCCTGCGAATGTGGTTGCCCCCTGCTGGTGCACAGCTCGGCTTCCTCAGTGGCTTTGTCATTCGCTTGGAAATTACCAGCATCTGCATGCTTTTGTGACACAGCAATAAAAAGAGTGAGTAAACCCAAACAAAAGTGATCAACTGTGTCACCGCTTTCACAGCCAAGCAGTGAGAGGAGGGCGACCGCCGCCTTGGGTGAACTTTTTGAGGAGATCAGGTGGGGGCGCAGGAAAAACCAGAAAGGAAATAAAACCCCGACAGTTCTAGAGGCGTCATTGTTCCAAGCCCACATTTTGCAGTGTGGCAACGAGACCCCCATTTAGTCAGAGAATGGGCCTCAGCACATCCACAAAATCTGTTCTGAGCTTCACAAACAACCCACTTTTTTGTTTCAATTTTGATGGGGGATGGTGCCCCTTTGGATGTAACAGCCTATGCCGCGCACAACCTGAGCATCAGTACACAGCAACCCTGCCACCTATGAAGCAATCCCATGGGCTGGGGTGGGGGCTGGGCAGAAAAGAGATATGAAAGGCAAACTCTGTGTTTACACTTTTCAGTATCATCTTAACTGAGTTCCTCAAATCTCCATAAGACACCACCAGACGGACTGGCTCACTCAGGGGGCGTGCTCATTCTTGAATTGTTCAGCGACGCTCACCGCATTTCTTCCACATAATTCCACTAGAGCTGGTCTCTGGGTCACAGAACTTTCGAGTGTGACTATTTGTGTTCTGGACCACAACAGTAACAACACTTTGACATATGATGTTACAAGTTAGCTTCCTGACTCAGACCTGGGGCTGGGCCAGGAGACGGAGGAAGGCACGGGGGTGGGTGCTCCCTGCAGCTGGGCCAGGTGGGCGAGAGCCAGAGATGCATGAGCCCTGCTGAGCCGAGGAGCTGCATTCCAGGTGTGGAGACCCGGCCCACAGGCCAGTGAGTCTCAACCCTGAGTGTGCACCTGAACCACCCAGCTGCTTTTCAAACTCCCAGGGCCCAGGCAATGCCCCAGACCAAGGGCAGCAAAAGCATCGGAAATGGGAGCTGGGCACCGGCATTGCTCGGAGCATTGGGCAGCCGACCGCATTGGGCAGCCAGGCTGGGAGGCACTGTGGGGAGCGTCGGTACATGGCTGGGTTCAGAGACCTGCAGAGGAGTTCTCAGGAGTGGGGAGGGAATGGATGGATTGCATCGAAATTCTCACCTGGCACTTCTGGGAGGGGCAGCCTGCATTTCTGAGATGACTGAAGGAGATTAAGGTTCTGCCCATGACCTCTGAGATGACAAATGTACCCGACCGGAAGATCAGGACCAGCCAATCTCTGTGTGGAGTAGCAGAGAGGCCACTCCACTGAAGTTCAACACATTTCAAATAGCTTGCCATCATTTGGACACGAGGAAGTCTCACATTTTAAAACCCGCTAATTCCAATGCTCTCCACCACAATAAAATCAAAAGAGATGATAATCCTGGGCCCCTGTCCCTAAGTGACAACTGGCTGAAGCTGAGTGGTGGTGGTCCCTCGAAACGGGCTTCTGGCTGAGTCGCTTAGTCAGATGTACATACGGTGTTGGCCCGGACAGCTGCCACTAGTCCCTGTGGCTGCTGAGCACTTGGAATGTGGTCAGTATGACTGAGGAGCTGAATTTTTTACTTTATTTCATTTTAACTAATTTCCATTCAATACTGGATGCTTGATTCGGTTACTGGAAAACCTGGATCTGTGGACCCATTCTGCAAATTCTCAGTCCTTGCCCGAGAACTACTGAATGAGAAACTGGGAGTGGGCACAGCAGTCGGGGTTTAAACAAGCCTTCTGGGTGATTCCGAGTCACCCATCTAACCCGCAGCTTCTGAGGGGGTGAGGCAGGATGAGGCCGGGTAGAGGCAGGTGACGACGGTTTGGAGAAGCAGCATGGAAAAGCGGCTGTGGTAGGCAGAATCTGCCCCACCCCAACCCCCCGACCCCGAGTCCCCGCCAAAAAAAGATGCTCAGGTCCTAATCCCTGGAATCTGTGGCTGTTACGTTACATGAGGGGAGGTGGGTTAAGGTTACAGAAGGGATTATGGTTGCTGATCAACTGACCTTGAGATGGGGAGGTCATCCTGGACTAGCTGGTGGGCCCAGTGAAATCACAAGGGCCCTTAAATGGGGGAGAGGGAGGCAGAAGAGTGGAGACCAGAGAGAAGGCAGCGTGAGAAGGGCTCACCTCGCCACTGCTGGCTTTGAGGCTGGAAGGGGGCCTCTGGAAGCGGCACAGCGGGCTCTCCCCAGGTTCTCCAGAAAGAACCACAATCCCGCTAACACCTTGCTTTTAGCCCGGGGAGGCCCATGTTGGCCTTTGGGCCTGCAGAACTCTGAGGGAATACATTTGGATTGTTTAAGACCCTAAATTAGGGCAGCAATACAAGACATTTGGCACAGTGGCCAAGGGCCCAGGCCCTGGCGTCAGACTGTGCAGGTCTGCGTCTGTCTTCTCGATGTGTGAGCCTGGGAAAGTATCTTAGCCTTCCCTCCCCACCCTACAGAATGGGAGTGCTGATGACGATAATTGTATATACAAGGTTGTGAGCATGCAATGTATGCAAAGCATTTGCCCCATAGTAAGTGCCCTATCAGATACTTAAAAGCAACACTGTGTCCCAAGCAATTATGAGGCCAACAGCCCAACAGACAGAGCAGTGACCAGGGTGGGATGGGGTTGAGCAGAACAGGCTCCCTGGAGGAGGTGATGTTGGAACCCAGCTTTTAAGGAACATCAGAGAGGAAGGGAGATTGCAAAGCTCACAGGAAGGGGAAGAGGTCATGATGG